CCCCCTGCCTGCCCTCACCCTCCCTGCTAGGAGATAATCAACCAGAAAGGATCTTCACCCTCGGAACTTGTTCACCATCTCTGCCCCTGAGAACTCGTTCACTGTGCCTTTGGGCACATTCTTCTCTAGCCAGACCAAGTACCGGATCACGGCTATAGCGTCCCGCACCTGGAGTGGAGAAAGCAGAGAAGTGGGCTGAGGTATGGTCGCAGCCCCAGTCTCCGGGATGAAGATCAGATGGTCGCTCTGGAATCTAGAGCTTTAAAAACACTCCAGTGGGATGGGCAAGTTCACACCTAATGGGTACAATGCACAGTATCTGGCTTATGGGTACAGAACAATGGATGTAACTGAAACATTTGTATCCTGGTAATATTCTGAGATTTTAAAAAAGAGGAAAAAAAACCCATTTGGTATCTGATATCAAAGGAGTCATTAGTGTCCATATATGATCATGGCATGCTCCTGTTTTTAAAGAGTAGTAGTTCTCAAACTTCCCAATACCTCAACCCTTTAATACAGTTCCTGTGGGTCGTGACCCACAGGTTGAGAACCTCTGTGAGATACTTACAGAAGAGTTGATGGCAGAAATGATATACTGCCTGGGATTTGCTTTAAAATAATCCAGCAACAGAGGGTTGGGGGAGGTGGAGGTAATGAATGTGGAGTTGTAGATTAAACAAGATTGCCCATGAGTTGATGACTATTAAAAATGGTTGACAGGGACACAGGAGGTCATTATACTATTTTCTCTACCTTTGTGTATGTTTAAAATTTTCCACAAGAAAAAAAGTTTTTCTTTTTTAAATGAGGCAGTTTAACCCACGTTTAACAAGAATATCCCCCACCAATGAGGAAATCATTACGGCCAACACTTATCTGACACTTAGAATGTACCAGGTATTGCTGGAAATACACACACACACACACATCCTTACAACCTAGGCTATAGGATTACTGGTGTGATCCTCATTTTACAGATGAGGTAACTGAGGCTAAGAG